AAAGTGTTACAATGCCCCTACAAACCAGGAAGTTCTACAATTATCCGAATGAACCAGGAAGTGTTGCAATGTCCCTGTGAACCAGGAAGTGCTACTATTATCCATATGAACCAGGAAGTGCTACAATTATCCATATAAACCAGAAAGTGTTGCAATATCCTTATGAACCAGGAAGTGCTAGAACTATCTGGATGAACCAGGAAGTGTGGCAATGTCCCTATGAACCAGTAAGTGATACAATTATCCATATGAATCAGGAAGTGTGGCAATGTCCCTATGAACCAGGAAGTGCTACAATTATTCCTATGGACCAGAGGGTTGCAAATGTCTTTATAAACCAGGAAGTTCTACAATTATCCATATGAACCAGAAAGTGTTACAGTGTCACTATGACCCAGGAAGCATCACAATGTCCCTGCAAACTATGAAGTACTACAATTATCCGTATGAACCATGAAGTGTTACAATGTCCCTATGAACCAGGAAGTGCTACAACTATCCGGATGAACCAGGAAGTGTGGCAACTATCCAGATGAATCAGGAAGTGTGGCAATGTCACTATGAACCAGAAAATGATACAATTATCCATATGAATCAGGAAGTATGGCAATGTCATTATGAACCAGAAAATGTCACACTTTCCCTATGAACCAGGAAGTGCTACAATTATCCGGATGAACCAGGAAGTGTGGCAATGTCCCTATGAACCAGGAAGTGCTACAGTTATTCCTATGAACCAGAGGGTTGCAAATGTCTCTATGAAGCAGGAAGTTCTACAGTTATCCATATGAACCAGAAAGTGTTGTAGTGTCACTATGACCCAGGAAGCATCACAATGTCCCTGTAAACCAGGAAGTACTACAATTATCCGTATGAACCAGCAAGTGTGGCAATGTCCCTATGAACCAGGAAGTGCTACAATTATTCCTATGAACCAGAGGGTTGCAAATGTCTTTATGAACCAGGAAGTTCTATAATTATCCATATGAACCAGAAAGTGTTGTAGTGTCACTATGAACCAGGAAGCGTCACAATGTCCCTGCAAACCAGGAAGTACTACAATTATCTGTATGAACCAGGAAGTGTTACAATGTCCCTATGAACCAGGAAGTGCTACAAATATCCGGATGAACCAGGAAGTGTTATAATGTCCCTATGAACCAAGAAGTGCTAAAATTATCCATATGAACCTTGAAATGTTACAATGTCCCTATGAACCAGGAAGTGTCACACTTTCCCTATGAACCAGGAAGTGTTACAATTATCCACATGAATCAGGAAGTGCAGCAATGTCACTATGAACCAGAAAGTGTCACACTTGCCCTATGAACCAGGAAGTGCTACAATTATCCAGATGAACCAGGAAGTGTAGCAATGTCCCTGTGAACCAGGAAGTGCTACAACTATCCGGATGTACCAGGAAGTGTGGCAGTGTTCCTATGAACCAGTAAGTGATACAATTATCAACATGAATCAGGAAGTGTGGCAATGTCACTATGAACCAGAAAGTGTCACGCTTTCCCTATGAACCAGGAAGTGCTACAATTATCCAGATGAACCAGGAAGTGTAGCAATATTCCTGTGAACCAGGAAGTGCTAATTATTCCTATGAACCAGAGGGTTGCAAATGTCTTTATGAACCAGGAAGTGCTACAATTATCTGTATGAACCAGGAAATGTTACAGTGTCCCTATAAACCAGGAAGTGCTACATTTACCCATATGAACCAGAAAGTGTGACAATGTCCCTGCAAACCAGGAAGTTCTACAATTATTCAAAGGAACCAGAAAGTGCTATTATCCATATGAACCAGGAAGTGCTACAGTTATCCATATGAACCAGGAAGTGTGGCAGTGTCACTATGAACCAGAAAGTATCACAATGTCCCTATGAACCAGGAAGTGCTACAATTATCCAGATGAACCAGGAAATGTGGCTATCTCCCTATGAACCAGGAAGTGATACAATTATCCATATGAATCAGGAGGTGTGGCAATGTCACTATGAACCAGAAAGTGTCACAATTTCCCTATGAACCAGGAAGTGCTACAATTATCTGTATGAACCAGGAAGTGTTATAATGTCCCTATGAACCAGGAAGTGCCACAGCTATCTGTATTAACCTGGAAATTTTACAGGGTCTCCATAAACCAGGAAGTGCTGCAATTAGACATATGAACCAGAAACTGTTACAATGTCCCTACTAACCAGGAAGGTCTATGATTATCCAAATGAACCAGAAAGTGTTGCAATGTCCCTGTGAACCAGAAAGTGCTACTATTATCCATATGAACCAAGAAGTGTGGCAGTGTCGCTATGATCCAGAAAGTATCACAATGTCCCTATGAACAAGCAAGTATGCTACAATTATCCAGATGAACCAGGAAGTGTGGCAATGTCCCTATGAACCAGGAAGCAATACAATCATCCATATGAATCATGAAGTGTGTCAATGTCACTATGAAGCAGGAAGTTTCACTATTTCCCTATGAACCAGGAAGTCCTACAATTACTCAGATGAACCAGGAAGTGTGGCAATGTCCCTATGAACCAGGAGGTGATACAATTATCCATATGAATCAGGAAGAGTGGCAATGCCACTATGAAGCCGAAAGTGTCACAATTTCCCTATGATCCAGGAAGTGCTACAATTATCCAGATGAACCAGGAAGTGTGGCAATGTCCCTACGAACCAGGAAATGCTACAATTATTCCTGTGAACCAGAGGGCTGCAAATGTCTTCATGAACCAGGAAGTTCTACAATTATCCATATGAACCAGAAAGTGTTGCAGTGTCACCATGACCCAGGAAGTGTTACAGTGTCCCTACAAACTAAGAAGTGCTACAATTATCCCTATGAACCAGGAAGTATTGCAGTGTCCCTGCAAACCAGGAAGTACTACAATTATCTGTATGAACCAGGACGTGTTACAATGTCCCTATGAACCAGGAAGTGCTACAACTATCCGTACAAACCTTGAAATGTTACAACGTCCCTGCAAACCAGGAAGTTCTACAATTATCCGAATTAACCAGTAAGTATTGCAATGTCCCTGTGAATCAAAAGTATTGCAATGTCCCTGTGACCCAGGAAGTGCTACTATTATCTATATGAACCAAGAAGTACTACAATTATCTGTATGAAGTACTACAATGTCCCTATGAAACAGGAAGTGCTACAATTATCCCTATGAACCAGGAAGTGTTGCAAGATCCCTGTGAATCAGGAAGTGTGACAATTATCTGTATGAACCAAAAAGTGTTGCAATATCCCTGTGAACTAGGAAGTGCTACATTTATCCCTATGAACCAGGAAGTGTCACAATGTCCCCGTGAACCAGGAAGTGCTACTATTACCCATTTGAACCAGGAAATGCAACAATGTGAGCCAGAAAGTGTTGCAGTGTCCCTACGAATCACAAAGCATTACAATCTCCAGATAAACCAGGAAGTGTTACAGTGTCCCTATAAATTAGAAAGTGCTGCAACCTTTCAATGACCCAGGAAGTTCATTTACCATCTCTAGAAAGCAGGAAGTGCTAGGCCGGGCGCGGTGGCTCACGCCTGTAATCCCAGCACTTTGGGAGGCCGAGGCGGGCGGATCACAAGGTCAGGAGATCGAGACCACGGTGAAACCCCGTCTCTACTAAAAATACAAAAAATTAGCCGGGCGCGGTTGTGGGCGCCTGTAGTCCCAGCTACTCGGGAGGCTGAGGCAGGAGAATGGCGTGAACCCGGGAGGCGGAGCTTGCAGTGAGCCAAGATCGCGCCACTGCACTCCAGCCTGGGCTGGGCGACAGAGCGAGACTCCGTCTCAAAAAAAAAAAAAAAAAGAAAAGGACTCATCTACATTGATCTAGACAATTTGAATACCAGAAATCTCTTCAAAAAAAAAAAAGCAGATGAAGTTGACTCAAATTTGCCTTGTAATTCCTAACTCTAAAAAGTCAGAAGACACAATAGTTTAGACATTAGGGATTAGTTAAATAAATTAATGTATTATATATCTATATAGAATAGTATATAATTGACAGTAAATGTCATATGATATAAATGATAAAATGACATGAGCAAATGTTCAGTGACTATTAATAACTATAAAATAGGCCGGGTGCAGTGGCTCATGCCTGTAATCCCAGAATTCTGGGAGGCCGAGGTGGGCAGATCACCTGAGGTCAGGAGTTTGAGACCAGCTTGGCCAGCGTGGTGAAACCCCACCTGTACTACAAATACACACAAAAAAATGAGCTGGGCATGGTGGTGCATGCCTGTAATCCCAGTTACTCAGGAGGCTGAGGCAGGAGAATTGCTCGAACCCAGGAGGCAGAGGTTGCAGTGAGCTGAGATCGTGCCACTGCACTCCCACCTGGGTGACAGAGCGAGACTCCATCTCAAATAATAATAATAATAATAATGTTACAGTGCAGTATGAACAAAAGACTGGCTTTATTACTTAACATTTGCTTCATTTAAACTGATATATAAAATATAAGTGCAAATAACCATCAAAATGCCAAGAGCGCAGGCACATTATTTATGATTCTGTGTTAAAAATTAAAAACAAAAACAAAACTAAAACCCTGAATGTTTCACAACAATTCACTTCAAAAACCAGTTGCTAGTCAGATTACCCTGAGAATGCTCTCAAGTGTCAAAATAGCTGATACAAATATTCAAGAGCAAAAACATTGAAAACACCCAAGTTTCTCTACAGGGAATGCACAGGCCATTTTCTCTACACCAAGTTCACATGAAAATCTTGTGCTCAGTGTTTTAGAAGTTCCATACAATCTTGGAAGTAAAATCAGCAAACTAAAAATAAAATGAAGTCAAATATCTATTTCAGAAAACTGTGTACTTCCCTCCCTGCCCAATGGAATAACTCTGTACAGAGTTAATAGCAAGCACATGCTCATCTGAAAGCCTCTCATCCAGCTGACGTGGATGCCACTCTACTATGGACAATATACAGACAACCCATAGAGTGAGAAGCACTTACCAATAAATCCAGGTTGCTTAGGGTTTGCATTTGGCTTCGGCTTGGGTGAATTAGGAGGTGCTGGGTCATCTCTTTGTGACAATGAGAGTTGCAATTGTGACTGTCTTAGAGTAAAGAAAATGCACCATCAATTTGCATAGAGATGGCTGACAGATCAGGTAAAAGTTGGAGCTTGCTGCTTGTCATGGCAGGGATAACCATACACACAGCCTCCTGCCAACTTTCTTCCATCACTTCCAGCTACATTGTTTAACATCAAATTAAACTAAAGCAGCTGTCTAGCCCAGTGACAGAATTGGCAAGGTCCTGTGCAAAACAAAAATGTGGGACCCTCATCCCAACTGTATGAAGAAGAGCAACATGGTAACTACAGACCAGTAAACCAATATAGCACCTTTGTAAGCACAGCTCCCTGGGTGACTTCACAAGTCGCATGCCTGTGCGCCTCACATGGCCAGGAGAGTCACATTTGCCTTACATCATTCCAAAGACTAAACAAAAGCAAGTGAACTGGCAAAAAAAAAAAAAAAAAAAAAGTCCAACAACATCAAAAACAGACAACATCACACTTACTCCCTAAGTTTCTATGGTGCAAACAAGTTCCATTGATCATTCTCAAGAGGTAAGTCTCTTGCAAATGATAATAATTGAGTGATAACAAGCAAGTCAGCAACAGCGGAGACTTTAAAGAGCTACTCACGATTTCCTCCACCATAAAAGGCATCTGCGAAGTCCAAGTCAGCCCCTACAAAAAGGAAACGGGCTGTTAACACCAAAGTTCTCAGAAATGAGGAAGGAATGAGCTCATAAACAGAGAAATCACCAGAGCCCCATGTGACTAAATACTTTTCTGAATATGACTCTCACCAGGATCTCATTAGAAAAAGCAAATTCCTGACCATTTTCACATCACTCTTCTCTCACATGAACAGATTAGAGATCAGAAGGTCGGGGTGTGGGGCTGGGGGGAAGAGAGAAAGAGAAAGAGAAAAAAGAGATAGACACAAAGAGAGAAAGAAATTCATAAATCAATTCTGCTCCTGGACTGAGTAGGAACTCCAACTTTGCCTGCACACTGTTTGCTCCTGTTTATTCCCATCCCATCATCATCTCGTTCGACACCCCCAACGCCTTCTGTGAGGGAGACCCGAAGAGGTGAGGAAGAATGACTGTGATCAGATTTGGGCTAGAGAGCGTCTAAAAAGTGGGTCTACCCACCAGGTATGTTGTTGATCATTTCAGAGGCTGCCTTCCAGTTCTAAGCTTTTCAAATTCTAATTAAGGTAGAGCAACTGTTTTTGTTTTGTTTTGAGACAGGGTCTTCCTCCGTCACCCAGGTTGGAATGCAGTGGTCTGACCACAGCTCACTGCAGGATCCGCCTCCTGGCTTCAAGCAATCCTCCTGCCTCAGCCTCCCAAGCAGGTGGGACAGGAGGTATGTGCCACCACGCCTGCTAATTTTTTATTTCATTTTAGAGAGGGGGTCTTGCTATGTTGCCCAGGCCGGTCTTGAACTCCTGGGCTTGAAAGATCCTCCCATCTTAGCCTCTCAGAGTGCTGGGATTATATGTGTGAACCTCTATTCCTGGCCATCAGGAGCTTTTTACATGGGGAAGGGGAAAAAAGGAGGCTTAAATGAAGGAAACATGAGGGGCTACTTTGAATCCAACACTTTTCAACACCATGTAACAACAGTACATTAGTAATCACTAAAAAACTGATGATTTTTCCAATATATTGTGTATAAAGAAAGAAGAAGTCTCACGGGATGAGAACCTATATATTATATGTTTAGAAAATAAAGTATACTAGAATAGAGAGATCTTCTTGAAATGAATATCTGGTTTTGCAAAGACAATTTATTTTATTTAAAGGTGAACCTCTTTAGGTTTTTGCCTTGAAATCAGGAATAAAAAAATGTCTCCTCTCTTCACTCATACTTAAAGCCATCATGTGTTCTCCAGCAAAGCCAATTCAATAAAAATACGAATGCACGCTGAAGACAACGAAAAAACACAGAAAAGCAGACAATTTTTAAAAATCACTTACAAATCATATGTCGGTCTTCTTAGAAATACAAGAAATGGAGAGAGAACAATTGGAGTTCATAAGGTTCATCATTCAGTGGAGAGTAAGAGAGAATGCACAAAAATGCTGCTATAGTTCAGAAATAGAGAGAAAAACAGCACACATAAAAATGTATTCAGCAAAACAAATCAATACTGACGGGAAAACACCTTAGAGATCCATTTAAAGAAATCACCAGGAGAAAAAGGCACACAGAAGAATTTGAGTCCCAATGAAAATGCTCGCTTTTACAAATATTTTAGCATTCTATAAATCAATTCATAGTTGTAAGTAATTCAAAAGAAAAGAAAAAGATGGTTTTCTTTTTCCCAAGAGGGAAGAGAGACAGTGATAAAATGGTTCTGAAGTTCAAAGGAAAAACATGGTACACAAAGGTGGAAACTCACACCAATCTAAGACAACATAAAAAAGAAAAATTCAAGTCTTGCTTGTAAATGGTTCTGTTCAAAATGTTTTCAGAGGCAACAATAAAGTGGAAACACATTTTCATAATATACTGGGCAATGTTAATTGTCTATAAGTAATTCAAAAATGACTAGAAATCAGGGAGGACATACTAGAACAGAAGAATAAAAGCCACACTATGCCATACACAGAAGAAGTGTCCACGGCCCACTGGCGCATTGTTTTTGTTTCCAGTTTCAGAATTAAAGACATGAAACTGAGACAAGGTTAGCATGACATTTTGCACTATTGGACAAAGATGTTTTGGTGAACACCACTATCGGAGATGGTGTGAGGAAAGGGTCATCTGCGCACCCCGCTGCCATCAAAATAAATTGGTGCAATTCTGAGGCAATTTCAAAACCATGTCAGAAGCTACCAATGTACTCACAAACATTGATCTAAACAACTTGCACTCTAGAAACATATCTTCAAACATAAAGGAAAGTGCATGAAGGGCAGTTACATTTGCTTTGTAATTTATAATTCCAAAACATCAGAAGAAACATAACTTCAGAATTAGGGATTAAAGAAACCAAAGTATGTAATTAAGTATGTAGTATAATTGTAGTATAATAATGTAAAGTCATATGATACAAATGATGAAATGACACAAGAAAATGTTCAAGGAATATTCTTATGCCAATAATAACATTACCAGCAAAAAACCATAAAAATGTCAACAGGATTTAGACCATCTTGATAATGTTCTGTGTTAAAAATTAAACAAACATGTAAAGAAAAACACTCAGTAAAAATCTAATTATTTAAAACAAGTTGGCTTCCCCATAGGAAACACAGAGATGGTTTTCCCCATAGCAAGTCTACATCTAAAAGCTCTTATTCAGTTATCTGGAAGTTCCGTTTATCTTTGAAGTGACATCAAGAAAAGAAAAATAAAATCCAAACCGAAAACTATTTTTGAAATCTAGGTTTTCCACTACTTGAGCACTGCAATCACCTTGTAATTCAACAGCAGGAACAGGCTCACCTGAAATCTCCTCTTCTCAGATGACATGAACATCACTGCCGGGTAAACGACATAGAGACCACCCGGAGGGTTAGAGGCTCTTATCAGTGAAACCAGGTCGGTTGGGGCTTGGATCTGGCTTTGGTTTGGGGGATCAGGCGGTGCTGGGTCACCTGTTTGTAAAACATGAGAGTTGCGATCATCAGTGCCTTGCAGTCAAAAAAAAAATGAAAAATCAATTTCCATAGCGACCAGAAAAATGAAAAATCAATTTCGATAGCGACCAGAAAAGAAAATGAAAAATCAATTTCGATAGTGACCAGAAAAGAAAATGAAAAATCAATTTCAATAGCAACCACAAAAGAAAATGAAAAATCAATTTCCATAGTGGCCAGAAAAGCAAATGAAAAATCAATTTGCATAGAGACTGTTCACTAAACAGGTAAAAAGTGGCCCTTGTTTTTGTCATGGTGGGGATGTCCATACACACAGCCTCTTGCCAATTCCCTTCCATCATCTTCCAGCTACAGGATTTAAGTATTTTCAAGTATTTTCAAAGAAAACTAAGCCAGGTGTCCAGACCACCTCCAGAATTTGAGAGGTCCTGTGCAAAATGAAAACGCAAGACTCACTGTTCCCACTTTATGAAGAATTTCGAGATGGCAGCTACAGAGTAATACACCAATATAGTGCCCTTGTATGCACAGGTCCCTGTGTGCACAGGTCACATGCCCATGAAGTCTGACCCGGCCAGGGAAGTGACATTTGCCTTATATCATTCCAGAAACTGTAACAATTTTAAAATAAAAGCCAGCATACTGGTGGAAAAAAGAATCCAACAGCAACAAGAATAAATCACAACAAGGCAAATATTTCCAATATTTCCACTGTATAAACCCAATCCATGGTCATGCAAAAGAGATAAGTCTTTTGGAAATGGCAGTAATTTGGTGACAGTAAGCAAGTCAGTAACCAGACTTAAAAAGAGTTACTCACGGTTTCCTCCACCACCAAAGGCATCTGCTAAGTCAAAGTCAGCCCCTAAAGGAGGGAAACGGTCTGTTACTTCTCAAGTTCTGAGGAAGGAATGACTTCAGAAACAGATGGAGAAATCACCAGAGACCCACATGACTAAAGACTTTCTGAATATCACACTGACCAGGATGTCATTTGAAAAAGTAAATTCCTGACCATTTTCACATCATTCTTCCTTCAGATGACAAGAGTAAGAGATGAGAGCAAGAGAGAGAGGGAGAGAGAAATAATGTCCTTTGTAAATCAACTGTGCTGCCTGGACCCAACTGGGACTCAGAATCTACCTGCACACAACTCTCTCTGATTGATTCCCCATTATCTCCTCCCAGGTCCGCAACACCTGACCTGGTAAGCGGACCGTAAGAGGTAGGGCAGGTGACTGTGATCTCATCTGATCCGTGACTGACAGATTCTGATCTGTGTCTGAAAAGTGGCTCTACCCACCCAGTTGGGCTCCATAAACTAATGTGACATTCATGCTAGTTTCAAAGCCAGCCTTCTAGGTTTCTTTGTTTTGTTTTTGTTTTTTTTTTTTTTTTTGAGATGGAGTTTTGCTCTTTTGCCCAGGCTAGAGTGCAGTGGTGCAATCTCAGCTCACTGCAACCTCCGCCTCCCGGGTTCAAGCCATTCTCCTGCCTCAGCCTCCCAAGTAGCTGGGATGACAGGCGCACGCCACCACACCTGGATAATTTTTGTATTTTTAGCAGAGGCGGGGTTTCTCCATGTTGGTCAGGCTGATCTTGAACTCCTGACCTCAAGTGATCCAGCCGCCTCAGCCTCCTAAGGTGCTGGGATTACAGGCGTGAGCCACCTTACCCGGCCCAGCCTTCTAGTTCTAAGCTTTTCAAATCCCAATTAAGGTCGAGGCACATTTTATATTGGGAGTGATCAAGGAGGCTCAAATGAAAGAAACATGAGGGGCTACATCAAAATGAATCTTTTTTTTCAAAACCATATGAAAATACACAAGTAATGAATAAAAAGCACATGATTTTTCACATATATTGTATAGAAAGGAATAAGAAATCTCATAGCATAAGAACGTATGTGTTCAGGAAAAAAAGCATACTAGAAGAGAAAGACACTTCTTGAAATGATTTATTTTATTTAAAGGTGAATCTCTTTGGGGTTTTGCCCTAATGTCTGGAAAAAAGCTGTCTACCGTATTTACAACTCCATGTATTAAAAGTTGTCCTGAGTTTTCTAGCAAAGGCAATAGAACTGAATTACAAATAAACTGTAAAGAGAACATATAAATCCAGGAACGGGGAAAATTTTTAAAACCCATTACCAAATAATATGACAGACTTCTTAGAAAAGGTCAGAAATGACGAGAAAAAAATTGGATTTTAACAAAGGGTCATCATTTCATAGATAGTAAAAAAATACATACACAATCGTTTCTACGTGACAGAAATAAACAGAAAAATAGTGGACACGAAAATGGATTCAGAGTAACAAAAACAAGGAAAAAACACTTTAGAAACCCATTGACGGAAACAAGAGAAAGAGACAAATCTAATCTCAAAGAAAAAGCTCAGGCCAGGCACAGTGGCTCACACCTGTAATCCCAGCACTTTGAGAGGCTGAGGTGGGCAGATCACCTGAGGTCAGGGGTTCAAGACCAGCCTGGCTAACATGGCGAAATCTCGTCTCTACTCAAAATACAAGAATTTGCCTAGCATTGTGGTGCATGTCTGTAATCCTAGCTACTTGGGAGGCTGAGGCACAAGAATCGCTTGAACCCAGGAAGTGGAGGCTGCAGTGAGCCAAGATCATGCCACTTGAGGGTCTGTCTCAAAAAACAAAACAAAACAAAAAAAAGAAAAAGCTCAACATTGAAAACGCATTACCATTCCTTGAATCAACCTATGATTATAAACAATTCAAACGAAATTAAAAAGAAGGTTTTACTTCTCCCAAGAGAAGAGACAACAGCAAAATGATTCCCAATTTAAATGGAAAAGAAAAAGTTACATGAAGCAGGATACCCACACAAACGTAAGACACCATTAAAAAAAATAAACATACTGCTTGTAAAACATTCCTGTTAAAAATATTCAAAGGCAAAAATAAAGTGCAAAACCATTTTCATAATAAGTGGCTGGTAATCTTTTATATCGATAAATCACTGAAGAAGGCTTATACATCAGTAGGTAGCGAGGCCCAGACAGGCGGAACAAATGAGGTCAGGAGTTGGAGACCAGCCTGGCCAACATGGTGAAACCCCGTTTCTACTAACAATACAAAACTGAGCCGGGCCTGGTGGCGGGCACCATGAATTGAAGGATAAAGGCCAAAGCATCCAATACACAGAAGAAGCAGTCTCCATGGCCCATTGGGATGCATTATGCTTTGTACATTTCAGAACGAGAGATGTGAAACTAAGACTAGTGTGATATAATAATGACACTATTCGACAAAGGTTTTGTAGGTGATCATTGCTACTGGAAAAGGTTTGAAGACACAGACATTTGCAGATACCCTGGTATCAAATCAAACTGGTGCGATTCTGGGGCAAGCAAACAACCAGGTTAAAAGCTATAAAAGTAGTCATATGCATTGATCTAGACAATCTGAATACCAGAAATCTCTTCAAAGGAATGAAAAAGAATAGATAAAGTTGACTCAAATTGGCTTTGTAATTCATAATTCTAAAATGTCAGAGGACACGATGTTTTCAACGTTAGGGATTAAAGAAATTAATGTATTTTATTATATACTTAGATAGAATAGTATTTGTCAGTAAATGTCATATGATAGAAATGAGAAAACGACATGAGAAAACGTGAATAAATATTCTTATTAATAAGTATAAAATAATGTTACAATAAACAACATAGAGACCACCCGTAGGGTTAGAGGCTCTTACCAGTGAAACCAGGTCAGTTGGGGTTTGGATCTGGCTTTGGTTTGGGGGGATCAAGGGGTGCTGGGTCACCTGTTTATAAGACATGAGAGTTGCGATCATCAGTGCCTGTAGTCAAGAAAATGAAAAATCAATTGCCACAGCGACCAGAAAATGAAAAATCAATTTCAATAGCGACCAGAAAAGAAAATGAAAAATCAATTTTGATAGCAACCAGAAAATGAAAAACCAATTTCGATAGCGACCAGAAAAGCAAATGAAATATCAATTTGCATAGAGACTGTTCACAGGTAAAAATTGACCTAAACAGGTAAAAATTGACCCCTGTTTTTGTCATGGTGGGGATGCCCATACTCGTAGCCTCCTGCCAATTCCCTTCTGTCATCTTCCAGCTACAGGATTTAACTTCAAGTATTTTCAAAGAAAACTAAATCAGGCGTCCAGACCACCTCCAGAATTTGGGAGGTCCTGTGCAAAATGAAAATGTGCGACCCATTGTTCCAGCTTTATGAAGAACTTGAAGATGGCAGCAATACAGCAATAAACCGTGGCACCCTTGTGAGCACAGGTCCCTGTGTGACTGCACAGGTCATATGCCCATGAGGCCTGACCTGGTCAGGGGAGTCACATTTGCCTTACATTGTTCCAAAGACTGTAACCATTTTAAAATAAAAGCCAGCATACTGGCTGGGCGTGATGGCTCGCATCTATAATCCCAGCACTTTGGGAGGCCAAGGTGAGTGCACAGCTTGAGTTTAGGAGTTTGAGACCAGCCTGGTCCACCTGGCAAAACCCAGCCCTTACCAAAAGACAAAAATTAGCCGGGCATGGTAGTGGGCGCCTGTAATCCCAGCTGCTGGGGAGGCTGAGGCCTGAGAATCGCTTAAGCCCAGGAGGCGGAGGTTGCAGTGAGATGAGATCGCACCACTGCACTCCAGCCTGGGCCACAGAGTTAGACTCTGAAACTACACTTAAAAAAAAAAAAAAAAAAAAAAAAAAAAGCCAGCATACCGGTAAAAAAATAATAATAATAATCAAAAATGCAACAACAAAAATAAACAACACATGTACTTCCTCTGTTTCCACTGTCCAAACTCCATTCAT